AGAGATAATGAGGCTAGAACAAGAATGTACTGGCTTTGTGAAAAAGTTGGGAGAAGATTGGCACCAGTTTTTAATAGGTTTGCAATATTCCTGAAAATACTGAATGTCTATTGAGGTTGGTAATCATGGATGAATAGTTATGGTGGCTATGAGCTTATAAATTCCCATTTATTTATTCTCTCTATATATATATATCTATAGAATACCTTCTATGTACCTGTTCTGAACCACTTGAGACCAAAGGGATGGACATGTCAGCTGTTCAAGGCCTTCAGGAACATCTCTTTGATGTTGCCCCTCAAAATTTCTGAACAGGCTCAAGATAGAAATTATTTCAGTAACATTTACTTCAAGGCCACAGCATACATCATATTGAGAAATTACCTTTATTCTATTTTCCATTTCAAGCAATCCCCAATTTTTTTCCAGAGCCAATTCCTGAAGGTTACACAATGAGCACTGGTTACAGAATGGTTCAAATGATAGAATACCAGGGAAACCTAGGTGATAACACCCTTCTGAAAACTCAGTGTTCAAAAAAAATCACAGTGGGGTTATGAAGCAGTTAACTGAATGACAATGAAAGCACTATTTTGTTGTTATTGTTGTTTGTTTTTTAGTTTTTGCCATAGGATGCATGTTCTTATCACAAAGAAAGAAAAAGAAAGAGAGAAATCACCACCCAGGAGGGATGACCACATCCCTTCTTCATTCTCTTCTTGGAATTTTGGGCACACACACATGTGCCAGCATGTTTTTCAAGCTGTTGGGTATGGGATTGAAACCGTACATTCGGCTGGGTGGGATTCAGTTGCCTTAACCATCACGCTATCTAGTTGACCCTGAAAGTACTATTTTGAACACTTGTGTGATACAGATAAAGCAAGGGAAATTTCTCAAGGGAAATTACAGCACTAAATTATATATTAGAAAATAGAAAAGATTGAAAATTAAAGGGTTAGGTGTTTAACTTGAAAAGCTTCTTTTTTTACAAAAAGGAATAACATATTAAACTCAACAGAAGCGTAAGTGAGGGATTAATCAAAATAATACAGAAATTAAGCAAATTATATGTTTTTTAGAAAGACACCAACAAAAGCTGATTATTTGAAAAGATTATAGACACGCTTCTATGGGTTTGTCTAAAAATATAGACTAACTTTTGTTAAGATGAAAACAGAAAAAAGTAGGAATTCACAAATCACAAATATATATCAGCAATGAAAAATAACTACAGATATTACAGAGAATTTTTAAATAGAGAATACTATGGACTAGTTACCAAAATTTTGAAGTTTTAAATATAATATCTAAATTTTTAGGAAACGTGAATTACCAAAAGGGATCAAAGAAGAAATAGAAAACCCAAATAAACTAATAACTATTAGAAAAATTATGTTGAGTTTTCAAAATACAATGGTTTCACAGATGAGATTTACCAAACACTCAAGAAACAAATACTACCTCTCTCATAAAAACTGTCACACACAGAGGAAAATTCTCAATGCATTTTATGAAGGTAGTTAACTCTTCATAAGGTACATAATGTGGACAAAGATAGGGCAAGAAAGGAAAATTATAAGCCAATGTCACTTATAAAAACAGATGCTAAAATCAAAAAACATTCACTAGTTGCATGATGCAGTGGATTAAAAAAATAACAGTACATTATGACAAAGCAGGGTTTATCTCAGGAATGTAAAGACAGGGCCACATTAGAAAACTATCAATGTGACCTATTATATTAACATATCACAGACAAAACCTATAATCACCTCCATAGTTTTAGAAAAAAAGCACTTAAAGTTTCAAGAGTCATTTTGTGGTTTTAAAATATTTCTGCTTTAAACACAATTAGGATAGAAGGGAATTACTTTAATCTAATAAAGAATTTCTACCAAAAAGTTACAATAAATATAAGTAATGATGATGCTTTACAAGTAATGTCAGTAAGACAGAAACAGGAAAACAATGCTTGTGCTCATCCTTACTGTTTGAAGTTATTTTGGAAGTCCCAGCCCATTTAATGAGATAAGAAAGAATAAAAAGCATCAGGAGTGTAATTTACAGATAATATGATTATCTAGGTGAAAATACAAGAGAATCCAAAAATCAACTATCTAACTAATAAGAAACTTCAGCACATTTGCAAAAATAAGTTTATTTCAAATACTATAACATTTCCAAACAGCAGCAATAATCAATTTAAAAATGCAATAGTAAAAAGATCCCACTTGTAACAGCAACAAAAGCTTTAAGGTACCTAGGAATAAATCTAACAAAGTGGTACAAGGGTTACATAAGCAAATTATAAAATGGTACTGAAGGATATAAAAAAAAAAAACCAGAATAATATTAATATATTGGATGACTCAATTTTATAAAGATGCCATAGCTCCCCAAATTTAACCTATAAATTTAACTCAACAAAATACCAAAAAAGTTTTTTAATGGGATTTGACAAACTGAAGTTAGTATGGAAGAATAAAAGTCCCCAAATAGTCCAATTTTGAAAATGTTTTTCTACATATCAAGAGTTATTATAAAGGCACAGTTATTAGGAGTGTAGTATTGACTCAGAATTGCTTTGATTAGTGGTAAATGACAAACAAGGATCATACAGGATATGCGAAACATAATCTGAATATATGGAAATTTAATATGGAGTCATGGTGGCATTACACTTTAATAGGACATGAAGGACTTGTTCAATAAATCAGGCTGCAACAGGCTTTCCATAGTGGGAAGGAGTAAAAAGTAAATACCTATTTTACATCTTTCAAAAATGTAAATCCCAGGTAAATCAGTTTCCATGTAGAAAGCAAAACTTTAAAACATTATGGAAAAGGACCTCAGAGCTGGCATCATCACCAGGTGTGGAAAGGTTTCTTTAGTAATTAATACACAAATGATAGAGATCTTACAGAAAAAGATCAATGACTATGACATAAACATTGTAAATTTTCTATAGTACAAAAGACATAGAAAACAGTTAAAAGACCAGCCACAGATTGAGACAATATGTTTAATGTTTATACATATAGAGTCCTACAAATCAAGAGGGTAAAAGATAAAAACATACACAGCCCCTTGGAAAAAGAGAACAAGGGCTGTGAAAAATAAATCATAGATTTAGAAACCTCAATAGCCAATAAATAGATGAAGAAACACTCAGCCTCACTAGCAGCGAGGGAAATTTGAATAAAACAAGATACTGGGTTTTAAAAAAATCAAATTAGCAGAATAAGAAAAGTCTGAATCTAGAAAGTGTTGAAGATCATGTGAGGGAAACAAGCACACTGCTGATGGGTGTGCAAATTGAAGAACCATTTGGCAGTCTCTAGTAAAACTGAAAATGTGTGTGTAGCCTACTAATTCGCAATCTAAATAGATAAACAGAGAAATTCTCACATATGTGCAAAGGAAACATATACAAGTAATGCCAAAATATGGCACTAGCTTAAATATGCATCAATAGGAGAATGAATAAACATAGCACATTCATATGCACCCATCTACAATATAGCAATTAAAATGAATGAACTGGATCTGTATTTATTAACATGAAGAGAAAAAAAAATACCACAAAGGAAAAAAACCAAGTCACTGAATAGTAAATACAGTCTAACATATGTAAACATTTAAAAAAACATACAAAGCAATATTCTGTATTTTATGGGTTCATATGAAGTCAAAGTGTAAAACCTAGACTGGAAAGTTATATATCAAATTCATAATAGTGTTTGCCTTTGGAGAAAAAGGGTGGAGGTGGATTTGGGGAGGGGTCCTTAGGGGACTTGAATTTTATCAGAAGATTAAATATCAATAGTTCCATTTTAAAATACAGATCTGAAGCTGTTTATAACAAAATGTTAACATTTATTAATTAAATGAGACAAGTCCATGGATGCTTATAAAATTTCCTCTGCATTTTAAAAGAACTTTATATTATTTCTAAATAATAAAATTAAAAGAAAAACAACTAGTAAAGGGTTCTTTCTCTGATAGAATTTTTATATAATTAGGAGTCAAGAGTTTTAAATGTCAAATCAATAACTTTATTTACAATGGAATCTCCTTAAAAATAATAAAGAAGCATAGTAACGAATGCTGGAGAATACACACTTTATAATACTGCTTACCTAGGGAGCTAGAGAGGGTTCAGAAAAGTAAATGGGACTGGGGTGAGAAATAAAGTGACATTCAACTCTATATGTAATGTTCAATATAAATAAAGATTCTGAAGCTAATATGACCAACATTTCACAGTTGATTATTCTAGGAAGCAGCTACATGAACATGCTATTCTTCATACATATGTATGTTTTAATTTTCAAAAGAAAAAGTACGAGAGAATTACAGAACTACACATCATATGCACATCATTCAGTAACATAAAAGTAAAGCTTATGTACATCAAAAAATAGTATATGACTATTTCCACTATTTATCCTGCTTGTTTTTCTGTTTAAAGTTTTTTTAGATAAAAAACAGGAAAAAGTGAGAGCATGATGACATGTGAACTATACATGTATTTAATCAAATAAAGGAAAAACCTCCACAATTGCAAAACACCCTATGAGCACTCTATGTCATTTGCTGCATTTTCTTATTTTTAATTTTCTTCAGAAGAAAAATAGGAGCTGTTGCCTAATTGGAAACGTGACTTTCTATTATTAAATTGTGGGAGTCCATTTTAATGTGTTTATCTCGCTGCTAGTCTGTAATTTATATTTCAGCGTGGAAATTTGTTTGTATGCCTGTGACAGGTTAATACAGTTTAAACATGCACTTTCTTTCGTTGGTTGGTTAAATCGTTACTCGAAGGATTTTAAGTTTCAATTTCAACCACGAGAGGATTCTTTGGTTTTACAAGGTTAAAAATGTTTCTGGTTCTAAATGCTATTAATTAATGGCTACGTAGCGGATCTATTTAGGGAACTGCTATGGACCCTGGATTAGCGGTTGAACTGCTAAATGGGAAAACTTTTTTGATGCAGACTTGGGGACATTTTCAATTTGGTCTGAGAGCGGAGGACGGGAGCGAAATGTAATTCCAGACCACTTAGCTAACGATCGTAATGATGAATCGAAAGACATGACAGGTATAAGCAATTTTTTTTTCCTTAAAAAAAAAAGTTTCTGGGACTCCGCCGGACACCCAGCTGGCGGAGGACCAGCGAGCGAGGGGGGAGAAGCCGGCGGGCTGCCCAGAAGTTACGATCCGGGAGTTTTCGCTTTATTAAAATTACCTGGCTCACCAGCAGAAGAAAGAACGCGGAGACAAGATAATTTCTTAGGCTGTTAAAAATGACTTAGCCGGCGGGCCCGCGTTCCGAGGGGGTGTCCA